CTATTCTCTTTAAATAGATGACGCATACTATCGATAAATGTAAAACTGAGACAATTTTACTTACATTTAATTAAATTTACCACATCAACATGGGTACAATGTGTGACTCTTGTACCATTAACCTAAAACAAAACAAAATAAAAATTTAATATTATAATAATAATAAATGTTTGTATCTGATATGAGAAAGGAATAAAGAGATGATTTGTCAACAAAAATTCATTACTTAAATAATAATCAAAATGTGCTACTGCAGTCTCTCTCAAACATAACTTCGTTGACTTAGATCTCTCCAATTGATTAATCGTATACGTATACACATGAATTAAAGAGAGTTAATTATTCACCATACATATTAAATTAACATTTTTTTTATTTATTATTGTTTATTTATTAATGAATACATCAAGTTTGTTTAGTAAGGTGGATCATCTATGTTAAACGTTTCATAGTGCAATTTTTTAGTTTTACATTAAAGTTTTTTAAAATCAAATACAAATGAACTCAGATTGTGATGTTGCATGCTCAGACCAATGAGTCAATGTATCTTGGGAAGAAAAAGTATGATGATCAAAAGACATCTATTTATTTCTTTTTTGAAATATTTATGATAATAGTTTAAAAATTTGTTCAAAATTTCGTTCAAAAAAAAAACTTTTTAAAATGTATTTTTTGTTTTGTTTTTTCCATAATGTCAAGACTATTATTTAATTGATGACCGATTTGAAAGTATAAACAAGATGTGTGAGTATTTCTTTGCAATGATGATGTTTGTGCCTATAGTGTTTTCGATGATAACTATAAATAACAGAGAAAAACAACAAAAACAAAGCCTCATTTATGAGACTTCTCAAAAAGAGGGCAAACATTTTTCTTCCTAAAACAAGACAAGACTCATTTATGTCAAAATTACTCAGTAAAACTCTGCATCTATATCCATTGGCCTATTTATAGTAAAGAAATAGAGTTTTCATTGTAGATATTGCAATTGTTTTATGACGTTATAGATCTAAATACTTGAGAAGAAAATAATGTTAATAATGACTTATCTTTCAACTTGACCAAAAAAATTGTATATAGTAATAAAAAAAAAAAAAATGACAAGAGAAATCATAATTTATTCTAACTTAAAAATGAACTATAACAAAACATAAAATAAACGTATTGAGACAAGAGTCAACCTATCAAACGTCTATATACGACTTGATTAATAGCAAAAATAGAATGCTTTCGGAAACAATAAAAAACAACAACAGTAGTGTAAGTAAGCATTAGAGTAAATTAAGAATTTATATATATATATCGTTTAATCTTACATCAGACGTAGGCCGTCTCAAATCGTAACTATAACCATAAGAAACACATTATAACTGATATCTATTGACAACTAATAGATAAGAAACAAAATAAAATATTTTCGGTAGATATTTTTTTCTTTTCTTTTTTCTTTTCAAGAATTTTTTGATCTAATCTATACTAAATATTGATCATGATTAATTGTTTACACGCTATTTTATCATGTAACTCTCACATTGATTGAGAATTATATTTAGAATAAGATTAGAACTAATTAACTTTTAAAAATGATTAGTGAGTGATAGATATGTTGTGTATGACAACTTGAAAGAAAATAATGATAGAGTTTACTTTCTTGTTTAAACAAGCTAATATTATTCAATTTAATCTTTATACTGTGATTGTATGTAAAAATACTATTGATATTATAGTTCAGTCAATCATTGTATTGTTCATCTCAATTTTTTTTCTGGTAAGAATGAGTTTGTACTTGTACATATTTGAATTTATTTTATAAAGACTATGTTCATGTAAGAATAATAGATAACAGATCTTTTCTTTTTTTTTGTTGTTGTTTTATTACTAGAGTTGAATAGGTAACTTAAAACATCACTTTTCTTCAACATTGTTTTATAGTTCCACATAAATGCACAGAAGTATAATGAGAATTGAACTAAGACGCATTTTGTTTTCTTCTTCTTCTCCTTTTTCGATTAATGATAAACGAAACTGTATTAACTCTAACTAATAAATCTTTCTACACCTTGTCTTTTTAAACAATAAAAATAAAGAAAAAAAAAAGAAGATATCTTTACGTAACACATATTATTCTCGATGATGTCTATAAGGTGGGCATGTGTAAATGAGAGAAAACAAAAATATATCATCTGTCAAGGTTAATAAATTGTAAAAAGAGAATTTTTCATATTATTTCAGATACAATTTATATTGAGAATATCTATAATGAATTAATTTCATCATTTCACATTTTAATCGATATATTTTTATCAAAAAAGTTTTATTATGTTCACTAAATAAGATCTCTCATACTCCTAAACATTATTAATATTAATATCTTTATTCACGTTTATATTTTTACTATTTTAAAAATACGCCATCTTATTTATATGTCCTTTTTAAATCAAAATTATTCTTCTATTCATTTTTATACTAAAAGAAGGTTAATAGAATAACTATAATTTTTATGATTCAATATGTGGACTCAATACAAAAAAAACTCTCCTTCTTAAAAAAAAAAAAAATGTAAATTTTGTGCCAACATATTCTAATACAAAAAGAGGAGGGCTTAACTTTGATTGTATACTTAACAAACAGTAGATAATAAAACGATACACAATAGTCTGTTAGCAATGAAGATTAAATTTTTCACAGGTGACAATTATCATTTTATTAAGTCGAATTATGATTTCGATTAACAGAAAATCTTTTTTTTTGTTGTAAGATTTCATTTTTCTCAAACAAAATATATCATTTTCATCTTCTTTCATGTCATTTATGGTTTTTTGGGGATTTTTTTTCCCTTTATTTTTAGCCGAATATTGTAGTAGACTTCTTTCATTTCAAAAAAAATATGTTTGAATTTTTGTTTTTAAAAAGAATGAGAAGATGCATTTATTTTGTTGAGATAAACCATCATTCCAATAGAATCACAATTTATACATTCGAACGACAAATAATTGGTCTCACATAATTTTCGTATCAAAAGCAAAAAATGAGAGAAAACTAAAACGAATAAACTTTAAAAGTTTGCAAAAAACCACCAAAAACACAAGTGAAAGATTTATATTTACAACAAACTAGGCGTATATTTAAATTGTTTTCAATACATATAGGCATAGAGTTTTTTTAATTAAAAAAATGAAGATATGTGCGTGTGTGTAATATTACGCAAGTGTGTCTAAAGTATATATCACCTAACCGAACCGTAAAATGGAAACTACTAATATTAAAGTGATAAAAAAAAATAAAAATAAAAGGTGCCAAAATTTCTTTTAAAAAGCTCTTCCCCTCTCTCTCTCTCTCTCTCTCTCTCTCTCTCTCTCTCTCTCTCTGTTTGTTCGTTTGCTCTTTTTCTTCTTTTCCTTTTTTTCTATGGCACAACCACCTTAACCGCAATAAGTAACAGTTCTGTACTCCTTTTTACTAAATAAAAATAATGAAGAAAAAAAAAAATGAAGGAGAAAAACAAGAAAGAAGTATAAGTCTTACTATTACGATACTATTACAGGACTCTTCTTTTTATTTTATTTTTTGTTAAATTTATTTGAAAAAAGTAAAATTTATAAAAACTTTTTTCAAATTTTCTATAAATAATTAATTATTATCTATTACCAATAAAATGATGTTCATATCGGACTATTTGTAATAAAAATTTCAATTAATGAAGATGTTTATGGTGAGTCTATTTTCTTTAATTTGATAAAAATATATAAATGATGAAATTTATTTATCTCAGAAGAGATCTTCTATCATAATGGGAAATGGGGAAAAAATTAAGAACAACGAACCTAATAAAACTTATCAATTTGATTAGTCAACGTTTATGCACTTTTTTTTTTTCTTTTACTTTAGAGAGAGAAAGAGAGACTCTAGTTGTGGTTATTTTATTCAAAAATTTCAAAAACCAGAAATTTGACTTTGAGGATAAATATTTCTATCAATCTATCTCATAATAAATTGACAACACAAACTATGTATCATAGAAACATGTTCATTTTCAACTTTATTATGTTATGTTATTGCTTTAATGTTCAAAAAAAAAAAACATTTTTGAAAAAGAAAAAAAGAATAACAAAGTTGTTTTAATAAAATTTTGTTCATTGTACAAAAAGTGTTATTATATATATAGTGATAAATTTCTTTTGATGAACTTAGGTAACTTTTGTACTGCTGCTCGTGTTCTCGACACCAATGTAAGCAATCAAATCAAGTAGATGAAACCAACTATTTACTTAGTGATGAAGCGGCAAACAAGAAGCGAAAGAGGATACTTAAAATATATATATATATATATAAAAGTATGAGTTAGGGAAAATATTATTTAAAGTGAAAAGTAATTTGACAGGTGTCAAAAAATGATAAAAATTATAGAAATAGATCAACGTTACAACGGATTCTATACTATTTCTCTCGTTTTTGAAATAAATCAATTTTATTCGTTTGTTTGTTTGCCAGTAAACATTTGTAAAATATAAATAATAATCTTTAATAATATTCATGGCATTTTAACACCGAAAGAGAATCGAAAACAAGACAGATAATTTTTTAAATTGTCTAATAGTATTTAGATATTGATTGATCTTTTGCATACAAAAATATTTTCACTAGCATATATTCCACAGTATTTATTAGAGGTTTTAAATTCTACAAAAAAACATTTTAAACTTTGGACAACTGGTTCTAGCCGCTGTAGACGTTTCTATTTAACTCACATTTGTACGGTTGCTAAAACAATTATCTCTCTTTATATATATATACATAGTTTAAATGTTTAGTATCGTGTTTGGTAAGAAATTCAATTACTCAATCAGAAATTTAGACAGAAAAATCACATTTTGTATTTCATAAATTTTTATGCCTTCTTTATTTATAGACGCCTGTAACAAGTTATTTTCATCTTTATCAAATGACCGTTTCTCTTCTAAAATAATCATATATGACTAAATCTACAGATAACTCTGGATATGACCGTTTTTGATAAGAAGATATTACGACCAACAAAACCAACGTCCTTTCGTGTGATGAATACAATGGACTCAAGTGTGCCACTGGATCCAACTCAGTCGAATGCATATCCCTCGACATTTTCTACACTACCATATATAACAGATACTTTACTTGTAACGCCCGCATCACGCACACCGTTCATTGATAAACAATCTTCATCCTCTACACCTATTATAAAAGACTTGCGTACAGTTAATATAGAGATAGAACGTCTTGAAAGTTTTGTTCATGAAAATGAAGATGAATCCACATGTTATATTGGCCTTGATGATGAAAATGAACAACAACAATCTCAACAAGAAACTCATGTTCAAGAAACAGTTGAAGTAATTCCAATTCCGTTAACATGCGAAAGAATATTTTATAGTTACGTTGATGATACTACAGAAAAACGTTTACGTACATATATGAAATTAAATCAAGGAGTTTACATTAAATTAAATGATTATGGACAGTTGACCGTAAATGATCAAACAATGAGATTATTTCACGGTTTACATTATGATCATCGTTTTAAATTTGATTTTTATTCAACAACATTATACATATTTCCGAAACAACGAAAAGAACGATTTATATCAGAAATTAAATATTATCCTGAACATATCACACTTCGGTATAAGACTAAATTAGAAATATTAGAAAAACAACAACAACAACATCAACATCAACAAAAATTTCGAAGACAAAAACAAATTTATTATCGAATTTAATTCATTCTTTTCTCTATCTGTTGCTTAAATTTTTATGAATAAATTGAGCTTTATCTACGTGTATACAGGATTGTAAAATTAAGTATTTTCATGTTTTTCTTGAAGATAATGATTTAGACTATAAGAATGAATGAAAAAATTGCAATTTTTTGCATCATAACTCAGAGGATGAACAATACTTTCGAATGTTGATTTATTTATTTCTGAAATACTTCTGCTCTAACCAAATAATTCAATGTAATATAACTTGTTGAGGAAAAATTTGAAAATATCGTTATTAAAAATAGAGAGCTGTCGAAGTTCAACCTAATTTCTGGGAAGAAATTCAAAATTCTGCAGTTTTCTTCTGCCTTGTTACTGTCAATCATTTTTTAAAGTAATCAAGGTGATAATTAACATGTTATTCGATTATAGACACAACCTATCATTGATATTTCAGATACACTGTCAACATCAAAAATAACCTCTAACAAATTATCTGTTAACATCATATTTTCTAGTTTTTGTAGTGAAAAATAATTTGATACAAGACACATCTAACAGAATAAAAAATGAGCATATAAACACACATACTTTGATTATCTGGTCGTTCTTTTGTACTCCAGCCTTTTGAGCTGCTCCACCTACAAAACAAAAAAATAGATAAATTATTGAAAAATCTTTGAAAAACTAAAACACGATTCATAGATTTAGACAAAAATGAACAGAGCGATTAGCATTTACACCCTTATTTCACTTCCAGCGCATGCCTTATATCTTTTGTGTTATATGCGGTTGATTGTTCTCATCAAGTAGTTAGTAAAAAATTAATTATTATGTAAGTAAGAAAGAAAAAAAGTATATGTTGTGCTTTTTCTTAGAGTGATAGCTCATGGATGAGCTCTAGTTCGACATCAATATGTTACAATAACATCTCATACATAAATATGACTGTTCGGTAACAACAACACTTTCAGTTTTACTCTCTTTTCTACTGGTCAATCTCTGCAGTTATGTAACTAACTGATAATTTCGTCCTTCAATAAATTTGTTTAACATATCCTCCTTTTTACCTTCTCTTATATTAAGAACATAAACAGGATTATCACCCGATACCGTAAGTCCATAGCCGTAACGATCGCGTTGTAAAATTACATTTCGTTGTATGAGTCCTAGTAAATAAAAATATATGTATAAACAATTAAATAGTTGTCATAATGATGATTCACGAACCTGTAGGTAAATCGAAATCTGGTACGACGGAACTCAAAATTCTAAATTAAATGGATTAATTCTCAAATAAAAGTAAAATTAACATCATCTATCATCTTCTTGTATTTACCTCTCATCATTATCCATAAAGATGTTAGTTGTTTCACCAATTTTAAAGTCTATTTGTTAGTAGTACCACGTAGTAAGAGTCTATAATAAAAAAGCGAAACAAAATATCTATAGTTAGTTTTAAATAATTCAGATTAGCCACGAAAAGAAATCATTCGATCAAAGTATTAAATTTGCGACATAAATAAAAAAAGCGAACAAACAACTTAGCGCAACTTTGTTCTTTTTTACTAAGGAAATACTAGAAGAGCGACACTCATGTTAACTATTTTACACACCCGTTTCCCAATAAATTTCAGAAAAATTTACTTAAATACATTATTGACTTTATACTTGGTACAAGTTCATTTTCTTGAAAAAAAACTAAATGAACAAAAGAGAGAATAGAATTAGAGTTTTACTGATAATGAAATTAAATTAAAAGTAAAAGAAATCGTATTAATCGTCAATTACAAGTAAATCAAATATATTGCAAAACAGAAGTTATCGAGTAAAAATGTCTATTGTAATGGTTTTGGGATTAATGCTTCGATGCAATGGGTACTTCTATTCTCTCCATTTAGTCCCAACAGATGAAAATTTGGACGAGATATGCTGGTAGTTATCAAAAAAGAGCGAACGAAAAGAAGACAATATATTTTTTATGAGGATCTCAGCTTGCTATTAATCCATATTAATCGAATTAGAATAGAAAATCCAAAACCAGGTGATTAAAGAAGAAATTACTAATTATCGCTGCTAAGAATCAATTTTACATTCCTAAATACAAGAACTCGTTTGAAACTTTTATTTTTTCTAATTCATTTTGTCAAGTTATTTAAGAAATATATCTGAATAAAAAACTTTTTAAATACCATTTCTGAGGCAAAAGAAGATATTTTTTTCATCTGTTGTACAACTTAATTCTAATAATCCAAGAAAAGAAGGTAAAAAATAAACAAATAAATAAAATGCCAATTAAAATTGCTATCTCTATTGGATAAAAGTAAGTAGCCAACCAGTAAGCAGCTAAGAGACGTTAGAACTAAAATTTGGTTGAGATAAACTACAATGAAAATGAGTCGCTAGCTACTGTGTGAGAGATGTGCATAATAACTACTGCTTGTTTCTCTTGAGTAAGTTTTCCCGAAAACTCTCTCCGACATAACTAGTGCATGATCTTTCGTAAAATCGTGGAAGAGTAACAGCTTTAGGAAGAGAGAGAAACATTATTTTATTTTTTCGACTTTCTAAGCGACCAACGAAAGACAATACTTGATTATTTGAGAAAAATGAGCTTTAATTGACACGTCAATTAAAGCTTATTTTTCTCAAATAATCAATGTGTCAGGTAGTCACGAACACTTAACGCAGGAGCATTCTTTTCTTTCTTTATTTAACTATACAATAAGAAAAATTAACATTAAGAAATATGTTCTCATTTTTTCTTTTCTGATTTTGTCTTCATTTGTCTTGAGATGAAATTTTGATCGCCACCATCAACTGCTCCACTTTCTTTAGTGTCATCAATTGAATCATCACCTTGAAAAATCGTTCATTTTGTTCCATTAGCTCATTATTTAAATATGTACTGGGGTTGCTTTGTTGACAATCCATTATGTTTTTTCGACAAAGCAGTTATCACTTTACCCTAGTGAATGTACTTGAGATCAAGTACTTAGCTACTTAGAAATTTTCTAAAGTACTTGGTTAAGCACTTGTCATGCATTTTTAGGTTTAATACGTGCAAAAGACCTTGGAAGAACTGTGGATAAATGCATATATTTCGCTAGTACTCACTGGCTTACCTGTCAAATACTTGATGTAGTACTTACCTAGTACTTACACTTGTTAAATTACTTGATAAATACCTTTTTTACTCTCAAAAAACTTCAGGTATTCTGAACAAGTACTTTTCTAAGTACTTGGCCTCAAGTACATTCACTAGTATATGGTTTAAATCATTGTTATTAAATAGATCTAATAAACATTTATGTGATGATAAAAATGGTGCATCATTCAGATTTATTGTAACATTGATTCTGCCAGTGCTATCATAACTGCTCATTATGCTCCAAATAACATTAACTATTAGTTCATGGACAAGTGATCAATCTCCTCACTGCCTTAGTGGAGAGTACCGTTTCTTCTTCTACCTATTTCTTAGCATCTGAAAAAGCCAATTTAACGTTATTTATGCAACTTCTAGGATAGGCTTTGCAAGATGAATGTAAACTATCATCATTAGGGCTAATCTTCTATCGTTAAATCGATAAAAAACCCTAGTCGAGAGTCCTGTGAGAAGTCATGTGAAACTCAGACGTAACTCTCGACTAAGAAGTGAGAAGATTGATCACTTTTTCATGAACTAATAGTTAATGTTATTTTAGAGCATAATCAAAAATTATGGGAGCATTGGAAGAATCAATGTTACAATAAATCCGAATGATACACCATTATTATTATCACATAACTGTTTATTAGATCTATTTAATAATAATGATTTAAATCATAAACTGATAATTGCTTTGTCAAAAAAAACATAATGGATTGTCAACAAAGCAACCCCAGGACATATTTAAATAATGAGCTAATGGAAGAAAATGAACGATTTTTCA